GAGTTCGATCTCCATGTCCCAGCTGCTGTGTTCTGGCAGTCCTGTTCCTTCCTTGGAAACGAACAGTTTGCTGTACTTCCGGTACTCCTCGGGTATAGTCTGGAGTGGGTTCGATCCCTGATCGCCCGTGCCGGGTGCTAACGACCTGGTAGGCTCTACGTGTCTGACGTAGGCAATGTATTTCGTCTGTTCGTCAGGTGCTGCGTAAGACTCGTTTGAACCCTGTTTCTTAGGTCGTTTAGTGACTGAATCTGTCCATTGGATGTGGCCATTCACCCAATCTATCTGTGGATTGTGCTTTCGTAACCACGAGATTCCTAGGATGACGTCGATGTCTCCGATCTCCGTGATGTCGTACTGGAGTTGTTCTGGATGATTGTTGACGTGTGTCGTGAGGTGTACGGTCTCGCGAGTGATAAGTCCTTCGTCATACCCAACTCTTTCTCCTTCTACATTCTGTAGGGTATAAGGTTCTTCCTTCTGTACCCATGGAAGGTCTAACTTGTTCACTATCTTTGGTGATATGAAGGTTCGTTGAGCGCCGCTGTCGATAATCGCGCGCATATCGTGTCCGTTTATCTGGAGTCTCACTCTCAGATGTTCGTCGTTGAGACATGTTGTTGAGCATAGGCGCTTGTCCTTGCTCTCCGCCTTTCGGTGTCTCTTGTCGATTGGCGTTTCTAGTTTTTTGTCATTCTGTTCCTCAGTCTGACGTCTTGTTCGATTCGTTCTTGATGTTCTCTCCAGGCCTTTGCCTTGGGTACGTAGTGGATCTGGCACTGGTCGTGTCTGCAGTCGTCCCATTCTACGTATTCGCTGTTCAAGCATTGCATAGGAAAGTTTGGATTAATATATTTGCATCGGGGTTCGTCGAGATCCTCTTCAGAACTGGTGTCGTCAACGCTAGGCGGTGCCTTGTGATCGATCTCCGTCTAAGCACGTCGTCGAGCGACGTTACGAGGTTCGTCCGAATCGTAAGGTGAATTTTCACCTTCGTCGAGTATATGTAAGCTAGAGCCGAAGGTCGGTTCTTAGCTATCTGTTCGGAAGTCGATTTTTCCGTTCTCGTCCATTCCGAAATCGAGGTTCTTTCGCTTAATGATTTCGATTCTATGTTCGCGGTCGAGGTCTTCGAGCTGCCCGAGGACCTTGCGTTGGAACTTATTATTCGGGGTTTATCGCATCATGCAGATGGACTTAGTAGGAATTCGTACTTCCCTAGCTAGGATCTCTTCTTCTAGTTGAAGTAGAGATTTCTTATCCTTCGCAGTCATTCTTTTCTAGAGTCTTCCTCCGACTACTGCGAGTGTTTGAGCTCGTCTCGGATGGCTGCTAGGTTATGTCCTGACGGCTTCGTAGGTCGTGGACAATGTCTGAATGCATTCCTTGTTATGATCCTCGAGGGTCTTCGGTCGTTGCGTGACCTCTTGCCTGCTTGTCATAGCGAGGGTCTTGATGCTGGCGGGCTCCTTAGGGTACCATCCCGTGTTTTCCTTACTGTCTTGATGGGTAAGGCAGTTGTCGTCGTAGCATGCTGTCTAAGAGAGTTGCTTATGCGGAATTTCCTTGGTAGCGATCCTGATCTGTTTCTCGGGCATAGGTCGCTGCTGGATCCTTCTGGGTTGTTGACAGTTGCGGGATATGTGTCCTGGCTTGTCGCAGTTGTAGCACCTGAAGACTTCCTTCTGGTACGGTTGTTCTCGTTTGGCCATGCTGAGGTCCATCGGTCCACTATGGTGTCTATAGGCCGTGGTTTGTCGGTTCTGCTAATGGTTGTTTCTAGGGCGGTTCTGTCCTTGGAAGCGCGGTTGATAGCGTTTCCTAGTGTTTGCTTGCGGGACTTGTTTCCTTTCCCTTCGTCGTTCGTAAAGTCGATTGTCAAGCTTGATAGCCAGTTCGACGTATTTTAAGAAGTCGTTGGGTCTGTCTTGTCGAGACAGTTCGTCCTTGACTTCCTCCTTGAGACCTTCATAGAACATGAAAATCTTAGCGTTGTCGGAGTAGTTAAGTCGGGCGCAGATTCGTCTGAAATCTGCAGCGTAATGCGAGGCTGATCCTTTCTGTCGAAGGTTTGAGAGCTCTCGTTCGTATTGTCGTTCTTCATCTGGTTCTTGGAACAGAGATAGAAGTGCACTTTCGAATCCGTGTAGTCCTTCGAAGATACCTTGGGTCTCTGGCTTGAGAGTGTCCCAGTCGTTGGTTATCATAAAGTCGGTAAGATGTGGTTCGAACCATGCGAGGGCTTTTCCCTTTAAAAAGGAGGCGGCATGGATGACCTTCTCGGCTTCGTCCTTAAAGTTCATTCCGTGGAAGCGTTGGTAGGCTCTGACTTGCGTGAGGAATCCCTTCAGTTGTCCTGGGGTTCCGTCAAAGGCTTGAGGTGAGTTGAGCCTGAGCTTCTCTCGTCCGTCATGCGACGTAGCGGTGATATTAGCGGTACCGTGGGGAGTATTGACCTTCTCCGTAAGGTAGTCCGCTTCCTTGGTCTTGTTCTCAAGTCGCTCCATAGCGTCATTGAACATTTGTTGCATCATGGCGATGTCGGAGTCGTTCTTCTTGATCTTCTTCTGTAGGTTTCCATAGACCTTACGAGTGAAGTCAAGTTCTTCTTCCGAGTCTTCGACGTCCTTCATTTCTTCGTCCAGGGTTTTGGCGGGCATAGGGGCCTTACCCTTGGAGTCGTTGGAAGTGGACGGGGTGGCTTGGGAAGACATCGTCGTTCTTACTGTTAGTGAGTTTCGTAGGGTCAACTTACTGAACAGGAGCAATTAAAGTGTTACGGCCAGCTAGTCGTAGGGGTAGTTTGCAGAAGTTGAGGCTGCGGAACTGGTAACAGTAATCGTAGTCGGGGATAGCTTCAGGGAAGCTATGTCTGTCAATCGTAAGATAAGGTAAGGCTTCGGTGATCAATCGTAGTCTTGTCAAGGTAGTAGCTGAAAGCGGATGTTAATCCTGATACGAAGTTAATTGCTGAAGAAGCTATGGGAAGTCTGTCCTAGAGTCCGGCTCAAGTCCATCCTTATATACAAGTCCTGATTCTGAACATGTCCTTTGTGCTGGACAGTGTCCTTGTTTGGATATGTTGGATAGCTCATATCCTGGTTATCCAAGGATAGCTTGGATAACTCATATCCAACATATCCTTATCCTTATCTCTTATCTCTTATCATCACGTGACTTGTCCATAGTTCTTCCGTTCCGTGAGAGGGTGCCTAGTGTTCCTTGTCCTCTGCATACATGGTGCGCTGTAGCCACCGCGAACCTGCGGGGCAGAGCCTGCGGGGCAGACCTTGTTCTTGGTCATGCATGTTGGGTCGTAACACTTAAGTACAGCTCTCCTTTCTACACAACTAATTAACACCGGGCACCCTACGGCGGCACTAAGGGTCACGATGGCTACGACTGCCCCTTTAAATACCCGTCGTATAACGGGCCTTACGCCGCCTTCGATGCGATTTGCCCTATCCAACCCAAAGTAGTGAAGGGGGTAGTCTAGAGGAGGGATAAGGCTTAGTGACAGAATTCGGAATTGTACCGTTGCACCATATACAAAAGAGAGATCCCTCTACTGCATTTAGGTAGTTGTGGGTACATATAGTTTCCGTCACTTAGCTACGGGCCATCCGAGCTAAGGGAGAAAGATTATAGAGAAATATAACCTAACAGTCGTATTAATATTCCCGTAAAGAAGAATAAGTGATAGATTATACCCCGGCGAATAAGATATAAAAGAAGAATAGTTAGTTATATTTTAAATATATTATAAAGATACTGAAATCTTTTTAATTAGTTAACGTATTATTCAAAGAAATTAGTTACTGAAATCTTTTTAATTAGTTATTATTCAAAGAAATTAGGTAAATATGCAATTTAGTATGCGATAAGGAGATGCGCGGCTGACTGATATGCGCGGCTGACTGGTAAACCACGTTAATCATATGTGATGCTAAGTCCGAGCATTTATTATTAAGTTTATACGGGCATATGTGCCTGTCGGCGCTTTAACATGTATATGTAAAGCGTATTTACGTTCGGGCTATAGATAAAAGAAATACTTCTATTCTATACGAATACTATAGGAAGGGATTAAGGGGTACTAACTCACTTTGTTTCTACTATAGTAGTAGGGGGGCATTAAGGGCCCGACTCTAAACCCTAAGTAAAGTATCTAGGAATAGCCTTATATAAAAGAAAAGAATGTAAAAAAGATACTTAGATTACAATATAGTTCTTTATATTAAGGGAGACTACTAGTACTTGTAATATACCCAAAATCTATAGGTAATAGAGGTACTTTTACTCTATTGGTTAGCTTGATTAATATAGAAGCCCTTATTGGCTCTACCCCGCCCTTGGCAAAAATGGAGCTATTCCGCACCCGATGGGATAGATATGACCCTCATACGGATCTTCCACTTGGAGGAATCAAGCCGCTTTCTACTATACATATCTTCCACTTGCTACCTTGCTTTGTGATAAAAAGCTAGTCGACAGTCCCCGCGAAAACAAGGGGGGATTTAGAACGGACCACGGATCGATAACGGTCCCGAACACCGGCTTTGTCTCTGCTCTACTTACTCGTGCACAGCAGCTGATTGGGTCAGTAACGAGTCTTAGCCTCGCGTATAACTTTACAGACGCGGCATATTGTAGAGAGCGTGGGGTTAAGTGTAATACGACCTTATCTCGTGGGCAGCTTAAAGATATTTCCAGTCTTCTACTAGCATCGACATTCGGCCTAATTGACCATCCATCAATGTCCGAAGGCTCGATCTCCAAAGGCGCGGACTTTTCAACCGCCGTTGTTCCAAGAACAAGTGTAGATGCGATGATCATAAAGATGAGCTTCTGGGTGGGAATATGTAGAGATCGCCCTTTCGTCCCTACATCACCGCACTGTCCTTTGTTTCTTTCACCTCGATTAAGCCTTCCTGCAAAGCAATCATTGACCGTGAAAGCTTTTACTTGAGTTCATTCGACTCGAAGAGAATTTCGACATTATGGAACGTCTTTCTGATTCGGGCATCTCGATCCTGGTTGTCGGCGCCGGAATCGCTGGCCTGGCTTTCGCCATCGAAGCTCATCGCCAGCGACATAGCGTCAAGGTTCTGGAAAGAGTTTTGCTATCCGGGAGGTGCTTTCTGGCTATCCGGGAGGTGGTCTACTTTTACGACCAATCAGAAGCGTCCCACGGGTTAACCTCGGCACAAGTCTACTAGCGCCCTGTGGGCCCGTCAATTGGATTCCTCCTCCACACCCCACGGTCGTCAAATTCCTTTCCAAACCACACCCACCTACCCACTCAACCCAACCCAACCCAACCACCCAGCCTACGTCGCCGCGATGGATTTGCCCACCGACGGGCCCGATTATGAGGCTATTCCCAACCCTCCAGAGGGTGGGATTGACGGAGTGCCTGCCGATTCGATTCAACAGCTACAAGACCATCTCAACGTTTTCGCACGTGCCCACGGCAAAGCACCGCCCTCGTCTGGGCCCGACGAATTGGCGTAAGTGGGCTGGGCAGAGGTCGATTAATCGTAGAGGGTCAATTCGTCGAGATTCGTCGATTGCCGCAATAAAACCCAAAATAATTTTTAATTTCATTCATTACGTAATATGCCGTTTTTTGCATTCTCCGGTGATTACCCGAGCCGACGATTCCATTGGCCGAAAAAATCCGGGGTAGGTGCACAAGCTCTGATTGGCTGAAAAGAGTGGACCACCTCCCGGATAGCCAGAAAGCACCTCCCGGATAGCAAAACTCTCTGGAAAATCGTATAGACCCGGGAGACTACGGTAAGTCCATAATCACACCAGCTTTTTCCACTCTCTCGGAACAGGATTCTGACGCAATGACTCCTTGATTCGCAGGTGAAATCTTCTTCATCCAGTCTTCCGGACTACACACACCCTCGAAATGGCCCGGGCTCATAGACAGGTTGAACAAAAGCGCCATCTCAGCCGAGTTCCAATTCTTCAAATTCAGTGGCGAGAAGTTGTTCGGAACCAAGCTCGGATCCCCGACTCTGCCCACGATTTCCGTCAGCCGAAGAGACTTCTACCTACTTCTCCTCAACTACGCCACCGAACTCGGCTACCAAATTGAGACGGGCCAAGAGGTCCAGGATTTCTTCGAGACCAAGGACCTCGGCGGCGTAATCCTCACCGACGGGAGCAAGCTGACTGCCGACATCGTCGTGGCAGCAGACGGCGTCGGTTCCAAGTCCTGGGGCCTCGTGACCGGCACCAAGGAGAAAGCCATCAGCTCTGGCTTCGCTCTCTACAGAGCGAGTTACCGGGCTGAAGAGGCCCTGAAGAGCCCTGAATAGCCCTGCTATCGCAGAGTTCTTCAAAGATAAACGGGAATGGACTTCCCTCCACGTCGTTCCAGGCGCGCACTTCTTCACTGGGCTCTCGCCGACGGAGTTCTGCTGGGGCCTGACGCACAGAGACGATGATTCCGCCGTCGAAGACTGGAATCGTGTCGTGGACTCTACCGGCGCGTTCAAGTATGTCTAGGGATGGGCGCCTATCGTACACGAGGTCATCGAGTCGACGCCAAACAACCAGGTCACCGACTGGAAGCTGCGGTTCCGTGATCCCCAGCTAAAGTGGGTGTCGGATGGAGGGCGAGTGGTGCAATGCGGCGATTCTGCGCACTCGTTTCTGCCTTCTTCTGGGTTCGGTGCTACCACTGCACTTGAAGATGCCTTTTCTCTTGCTGCCTGTCTCAGAATGAGCGGCAAGGAGTCTGCTGCATTGGGCACCAAAGTACACAACAAGCTCCGGTAAGCTTCTTCCTCTCACTGTGCCCCGTCAACTTCCTGAACCTATGGCTATATCGCTGACTCTGGGACGGCCTTGTTTAGCTTCGAGAGAACCGCTTGCGCCCAGAAAATCGGCTTCAAATCCCGAGAGGTTTTCCACCACACCAACTGGGACGAAGCTGCCAAGAATCCCCGCAGTATCGCCAAGTTTACAGGATCGTGGCTGCTGAAGCATGATCCTGAGCAATATGCTTATGACAACTACGAGGCTTGCGCGGAATCTCTGCTTCAAGGGAAGGAGTTCAAGAATACGAACGCGGTCCCTGGGTTCCCATTCAATCTTTGGACGGTCCAGGAGCTGCTAGACAAGTCTGATCAGGGCGAGTCGGTTGACGATGACGAAGGAGACTGGTACACTTGATTTTAAGGAGTCAGAACTTCGACGCCGAAGCATAGACGCGCTTCACGCCACTATAATAGAAATACGCCTAGCAGATGTGAGAGAGACCGGCGGTCGTACCAACTTGAGGAGCTTTATACCGATCGATACATGTTGTATTCGAACTCTTGCGTCTTGAAAGTAGTGCAAGGCTACTCTCCAGCACGCAAGGTCCTCAACGCAGCTGCTGGGTGTTCAAGATCACCTTATAAGTACATGTACCTAGTGCGCCTCAGTGCAATCGTCTTTCATCTTTCTCGTGGTTCAGAAAGCTCCCAAGGCAAACGCGGGAACGGATACGGAGACGAGAAGAGACAATATATCCTCAGCGGCGTTCTCGGTTATATTTGATGTGAGAGTGGTTGTTACTTCCTACATGATCAATACCAACATAGTCATCATCGTCAATATTTCACTTGGTAGATTTGAATGTATTCGTTGGGGAACATATTGTGGGAGGTCCAGAACTAGCCGGGAGAAGAAGAATAGTGGGAGTGACATCGACAGAAGAAGAGATAGGGGCATTTGTAGTGTACTTAGTGGAATTGAATAACCGGAAGTATTTGCGGACCAGCTAAGTCTGAAGAATCATCTCGTGTTGTCGTTTCCGAGAATGTGCATCTTGAACGCTAGCTATTATCTAGTAAGTGACTTAGGGAAAGTAGGACGTCGTCAAATTGATTCCCGGTCGGCGGTCCGCAATAAACAGCATCCTTATTCGGTACAAGAAAAGGTGACCTGATATATCCTATTGGGGCTCACTCTACAGTCAAATTGAAAAAATATGCCCCGAATAGACACAGGAAGTAAGTACCCTGCATCATGTACCAAACCCTCAAAAGCCAGGCGATCAGCACCGACCACACCACCACGAACCCTTCTTCACCGCCAGAATGTGTCACCACTTGGACTTCACCTTTCCCACGCCGCAATGACTCCCCTCGCGGGCGGAACGAAGGGAAAAAAGCAATCTTTGGTTCCTGGTTGGCAGACGGTTTATATGGGACCCCGCCCCCGTGTCACGACCAATCCCGGAGGAGCGAAGATGGTGGCACCGTGGCACGGAGTAGGCAGGTGGGGTAAGTGGCAGGCAGGCAAAATGGCCTCAGTCTCCGAAAGTGCAGTTTTTCTACTTTTGTGACGGGATTTGCCGGATAGTAATTGTCCGAGGTGACTTGGCATCAATCAGATGCATCGAGTAGATGGAAAAGAAAGAGAGAGAGAGAGAGAGAGCAACGGTTGAATCAAAAATCAGAATCAATCTCAAAATCGGTATTAAACCTGGCGCGTCAAGAACCCCGCCCCCGGCCACTACCCCGCCGGTCACCACTTGACCGAACACACCGAGATCGGCACCCCTCGGTGTCAGGGTGTGTAAATGTCACTCTTCGGTGACTGGGCCTCGACACCCCACCGACCCGTCCCGCCGTCCCCAAGACCCCAATCAACAGGGATGACCCGTGAAATCCTACCCCAGGGCTGTCTTTTCCCCCCAACTCTGTCTCCGAAAGCCAGTGCCGACTGGGAGGGACTGCCTGGCGTTGCCTATTCTAGTCGCCGCAAGCGCGGTCATCGGGGGCTTCTTGTCATTGTTTTTTCGTGAGGGATCCGTTGTTCTTGGCGATGATGAAATCTGCTAGAGAGAGCCATCAAAGGACCGTGACTGCAATCGCGTCCTTTGAAGCCAGGCAGAACTGACCCCGCGATCTGAAGAATTGCGCAACGTCCCACCAGCCATGAGGAGCGAAGGAAGAGTCCCGGCCCAAAATTACTGGTAATGCGTGTTTTCGCATTGCGCGGCAAGCATCATGTAATCCAAATTTCAACCTCAAATTTGGGGAAACAAGTACCTTGGATGCATAGTCTTTTAGTCCCATTCGCGTCCAAGTGGTGGTGTCTTGACTCAGACCATCGCAACCTCCCGCCACAGACACCCATCCACTCTCCCTCATCGTCCATGCATGTCTCTAGCAACAAAATTTTGGGACGAACGAACAAGAAAACGCCACGGATAAGGGTCGCTTGCAGATGTTTCGTCTCGCAATCTCTCTCCGAAAGGTGAGGTGGGATGGGAAGAAAGCAGAGTCGCTGCCGAGCCTTCGAAGATCCGAGCAGAGACCAGGGCAGGAGTGAGACATGCAGGCGCATGCGATCACAAGGACCGCGACGTTGATCGTTTATCACGAGAAAATGTACCGCAAAGATGTAGCATCACCGTAATGATCACAGCCGGCAACGTAGGAGCGGATATATGAATCATGATTGTGTTGTTTTGATTCAATGACTATCTAATGGTTGTCCCAACGTATCCTGTTGTGGTGGTATCTTCCTATCGCTGTCCCGGCGATCCCTCCCCGGTGGTATATTGTACATGCATGTAAATCAAGAAACGCTGGCTATCTATACAATTCCAAGAAAACGATCAAGAGAAAAGCTCGCATATCGATAATGGATAAACAAGAAACTTGAAGCAGTAAATGCATTCACCAAATATGTCGTTTACTCCCATCGGTAAAACCCATCATCGTAGGAAACACGGTGCCTCCGGGTACCCGGACCCACAGTAGCCCGCCGGTGGGGTGTCATCCGCTCCTGCAATCGGCGTCGCTGAGCTTCTTCCTCATCCTCAGCTCGTGAGGTGAGATGGTCGGCAACTCCCATACGGCGAATGGCGTCTGCCAAGTCCTCCTGGTATCTGGAACCGTAACCCGTAGAAGTGCGGTTTAGAGGAGCGGGAGGGACGGGGACGGCGGTGCGGCTGGCAATCTTGGCGTTCTGCTGAGCAATGCGCAGTTGCTTCTGGAGCTGGCGCTCCTCCTCCTCCTGGCGTTTGCGCTCCTCGCGTTCCTTGTGCTCTCGGTGGCGGCGGCGGCGGCGCTCTTCATCATCGGCGCTGGCGTAGCTGTTGCGCGATTCAGAAGAGTGATGGCGGCGGTGCTTGTTGTCGACAACCTCAATCTCGACCTTGGATCGCGGGCGCTCATCGACGATGACAGGTCGAAGAGAGTCGCGACGGACATGGCTATAGCGGAACTGGGAGGTCTCGCCGCCGGCATTGGGTGAGGGCGGCGCGGTGTAAGGCGAAGCGAACTGCTTGGGTGGTGTGCGCGGGGTAGGGGGAGCGTCGACGATGACGATGCGCTCTTTGCATGACCGGTGCTTGCGGTTGAGGTCCAATACCCTTTGGCCGTTTACGTATACTCCGGATTGGCGGTGCCTCCTCTCGCTCGAAGAAGATTCGCGACGAGTGCGACCTCCCTCATTGCCCGAAGAAGTGCCTCGTGGTGAGCTCATGGGAGGAGAGGGCGGCATCTGCTGGGGAAATGGGTATGATGGACCAGCAGGAGCGTACATGGGCACTGGTGAAGGGTAGCCGACTGAGCGCGGCGGGTGGTTGTAGATAACGGGGTTGGGGCAAAGATGACCGCTGCGGGAAGCAGCGCACAAGGTGGACTGAGGATACTCGGCCCTCCGGCCGTCGGGGTAGACGTCGGTGTAAACGTCGGTGGTGCACATTGTGTCTTGTGTAAACGTATCAGGGCGCAGCGTGCGCGGGGTCGGTGGTGAGGGTTGAACTACCTGCGTAACAGATGGAACTCGTCTCGCGGGTACGGTCGACTGGGTGGAGGAGAGAGTCCTCGAGAGCGTTGGTGAACGTTGATAATTCCGATTGGAGTCGGCTAGGCGACGAGACTTGTACTTGTAGACAATGGTGTTGTCGATGTAGTGAGCTTCAGGGTGGTGATAGGAAGACAACGTGTCGGTGTTGTTGAGGTGAAGTCGAAGTGATATGGTGGATCTTTGAGTGAATCGAGGTTGTGGTCTGTCTGATTGTTGGTGATGTGAGTTGGTGATCTTCCAGGACAAGATGCAAGTAAAGACGAGGGACTATATACCAGATCAAGGAAGGATTCAAGAAGTCAGGTGTGGAAGAATCCCAAAGAGTTCTGCCTAAGTATAGAGGATGGATCGACCAGGTATGATAGATTGGGGTAGCGTCTGTCGTCTAAGTGCGGGAAGGGAAGTCTTTCCAAAGTGTAAATAGTCCAAGTGGAGATGTAAAGCAGCGTGGAAACAAGTTGTCTCGAAGTGATTCTGCGTCTGAATTATATCGTCTGAGCAGAAGAAACCCATTCTGGTGGTGGTGGTGGCATGGCAGAGCAGGGGCAACAAGTCGCTAGTACCTAGCGTCAGCCGCAAAGACGGTGGAGGACCCAAGTATCGTGGGCCAAGTGCTGTAGGCCGTGGCATGGTGGAGATTTGAGGCCTTGCGAGGGTGGATTGCGCCTGCACACCATGCCCCCCTCCCCCTCCCCTGTCAGACTGCTGCCTTTCGCTACAAGTAGAGGCCGATGAGTCTTCGCTTGGCTGCTAGGCCTCTTTCGGCCCTCGCAGGGGGGTTCTCTTTCTTGGGAGGGGAGGGTCGTCGGAGTCCTTGGCCTAGGGTGGCCCCCTCTCGCTGAACGTTTCCGAAAGAGCACAAGTCTCCCTTCCGTCTCTTGCCCGCATTCCTCCGCTGGGGAAATACCTCTGGAGGTATCACTCAGCCTCTTTTGGGAAGAGGCCTACCAGAGGCGGTGCGCGGGAAGTGACTTTTGGGACGTTGCCAGGGGGGGGGTCCACCGTAAGCCGTCAAAACGAGGGCGCTGGAGGGAGCCAAGGATATTCGACAGGCGTGACAGGCTGGACGGCGCACAGGTGGCGCTTTCTTGTGTTCTCTGATGTCTTTGAAAGGAGTCCTCAGTCCCCAGTTATGCGACCTTGCGCATGAGGGTGTGTGTGAGTTTGTGGATACGGGTTGTGTAAGTTGAGTTGCGCCGCGATGTTTATTCCATGTGGTGGTGTCTCGTTCATCGTAGGATGAAGAGGGAACCGACTGGCTGGTGGTCAGCGTCCCTTTCTTTCGTCTGGGGAAGAGGTTGCGGATGGCCGCCGTGGAGGTCTGGCGTCGTCGCAGCCTCGTGTAGAAGATGACGAATTCGGACTCTTGAGTGGGAAAGCCGCGAAACAATAATCTGGGCGATATGATGCTATTTTCGCTCTCAACTCGATGCCCCCCTCATGCCACCACTTAAGAACCAAAGTATTTTTGCCCCGGTTCTTCATTTATTCGACGCGGGGATAGGCACCATGCGCGCGCCGTTGGGGAAGGCCAGGGTGACATGGACAGCGGCAATTGAAACATTTCGACTGCAGATTTGGCCCGAGTTGGCCGGGCCCGACCCAGAAGTGTTGATTCTCAATTAATCAACATCGTTTCCGAATAAGCGACAGCCGCCGTTGTGCTCGAGTAGCGACGATCTCCTTTGTCCCCTCTGTTCTGGATCGGGTGGAACAGTAACCAATCATCCCAATTGACGTTGGTGAATGACACCTGAGTCACTTCGGCCTCGCAAGGTTTTCATGCAAGCTCTTTGTTGGTCTCTTGCGCGACGCTACAATGCCGATTCTCTGAGTGGCCGGGGGGACGAGGTCCACTTAGTTGACTTGCAGATGGCCGGTTGTGCATGAGGCCACGATTGAAGCAGTTGATCATCGGACTCTGGAGTCTGGACAAGTGGCTGCGGGCCAATTCGATAAACTCCACCTCCCGGGAACCATGGCCTTCATCGTCACCGGCGAAGGATCGTGGGCTGCAAGGGGAGCCACTGAGGGCTTGACAAGGTTAATGACGATGCTTGTCACGTGGCGCGCGCCGTTCCAATACCAGTAAAGCGTGGTGTTCGTCCCGCCAGTTCAATCGAAATCTTGGCTGCGAAAGAAGTATGTTTTGGCAGTGTTAGTATGCGAGTAAGACGGCTGTGCTGATCTCTAACGACAGCAGGGTGCGTTAAAGGGACGCACAGCCACCACAGCCTGCTTCTCCCTCGGACCAACCGATGCAGCCAGCCAGGCCTTGTTTCGTGAAGGTGGATAGCAAAAGAAGCTCATCAGGACAACAATGAAGAGGGAGCGGGGTGCATTTCGCTGCAAGGTCTGCAAGCGCTCCGAGAGGCTCAATCGAATGCCATCGCATCAAATCGTGTCGCAGTGCAGCGCATCGCATCGTCGCAGCAGCAAGTTGGAGATGCCCTTGGGAGAGGATGAGGTGTGGTCAGAGGTGAAAGCTCCGGCCACCTGTTTTTCTCCCAGAGTTCGCACAAACTCTTGGAGACAGCGGTACGTATCTCATCAGGTCCACAACGCTTCTTCTCCACCTTCCGATTCCAGCCGCTACCAGCAGGCATCAGTCCCATTCTGCCTCAGGTGAGAACCAAATCCCCGGCTTTTCTCTTGATGACTAACACAGGGTCGAGATCACCCGATGCGGCTCACCCTCGACTTACCGACGGTACGTATCTCTGTACCTTAAACGTCTGCCTAAACATCAAGAGAAGTTTTCGCGATGTCCCTTGACAACCTGTCATAATACGAATTGGCTGGAGTCCTAGGAGGGACTACAAGCAGGTGCTCGTACATATCAGGCTCGTCCTTCGTTGGCTCGTGGCCCGCGTCACTTCAAGACACCCACCACACCAGACGCGTCAACGCATCCAGACACTCTCAAGACCACCTCCGATCCTTCGCCGGCTCGCTTCTCTCCTTCCAGTCATTCCAGTCACCTCGAAGTTGCCACCCGTTGCCTAGCGATAGACTCGGTAAAGTTGCGTGGCCGGAGGCCAACTACTTCCACTTCCACCTGAGCTGAATCAACAGGATCGATCCCTCTTTTCACGACCTTGATTATCTCATCCCCGGACTTCCAAGAGAAACATGGCCGGGGGTTTCCCGACCAGGTGACCGCAAGATTTCCCGCAAGGCTGTAGGATCTGCTACCCTGACGCGTCTGACGAATGTCCTGCACAGTACCTTGCGCCCACAGCCGAACATCGCAACCACGAGATTAGCTTCTCAGCCCCCAGTTGGGGGCCGTTTCCATGTAGCCCACCGGAGGCCGCTCGGAGAGACTGGAATTCGCTGGAAGAATTGTGCTTCATCCCGTGGACGACTTTTCCTTTCGCCATTGCAGTTTCAAAAAAATTCGAACCGCTTGTGTTACCTACAAGACATGTAGCCGCGCGGAAGGGTCGAGACATCATCAGACACTTGGTGGCGTTCGACAACCCTCCAAAGCCTTACGAGGCAGATTTACTCCTCCGAAACGGAGTTATCCATCGCCAATATCATTCGCCGGATTTGCGTACCCACTATTAAGGCTGCTCCGAGTCAGACCGGGATTTCCGGGGCAAAGTCTACGCAGGAACTTGCAAAATGCTCGGCGTTCTTGGCTCGTGCGTCCTGCTGGGAACATGGTCTTTGATTGAATCGTTTCAAGACAGGGAACCCAGACTATTCTCGTCCCGACTGTGTTATGCAGATGAACTGACTTTCCCAGAATGCTTCTGGAAGGCTGTATACTGAAGACTCATCCTCGTTGCAATGTCGTACGAACTATCGAGAGTCAAGCGGTTTGTGATGGGTTGCACCACACTATGGCTGCGGTATCACGCAATACGACAAAGCTTGCGTGGTTACGTGCATCATCGGTATGACATCTAATTCAACCTAGGCTCGAAATTGCCTCGCTCGCCCAGCTTTGGGCCCTGGTATTGACCGAAATACCGAATATTGCGCTTCTTCTCAGGTTGCGGCGCTTCAGGTTCTACGTCCTTCTCTGCCCTCGTACCACTATCATAAGCTACCAGAGACTCTGCTGTGTCCAATATAGTCTTGCCGTAGTGCTTCGGAGGTGCCTTCGGGAGTGTGAATAGCAGAGTGGAGGCTTATTATGGGTACCCAGAGTATGAAGCTGATGAAGTTCCCAGCACTCAATCATGGTACGATGGCAAGTGTAAGAACGCCAGACCGAATAATGCTTCGTGCCTCGTCACTTGCCCATGTAACACTACGAACGCGGGAGGGATTGATTCCTCCTTTCCCATGCTTCTTTCGGTGCTGGTATTACGCCTGCCTTAGACTGCCTACATGAGCAAGACTCCCACCGAACAACCCAGCCTCACCCCTATGCCTCGGCTCTCCTCGTAATGGACTGCCTTGGAGCGAGGTTGAAAGTGCCGTCAGCCCTCTTCACCCGAGGATTCGTTTTCGTCGGCGTTAAATCGTCCCGCTTCTCCTGCACTGCTTCTTCCCCGCGCTTCTTTTGAAGACTGTCTGCTTCCTCGTCCGAGATCATCCTGGCCTCCTTGGTTTGAGTCTGCCGTGGCACCAGGTTGAAGGTTCCGTCGGCTCTCTTCACCCGAGGGTTTGTCTTGGTTGCCTCGAGCCCCTTCTTCCCGACGATTTCGTCGCGTTCAACGAGAGCAGCGCCAGCGTTGGGAAGCGACTTGAACGAGTTAGTAGAGCTGCCTTGGTCGAATAAGATCGCAACTTACGGCTACTACAGCGCCAGCACTAGCAAGAATGAGGAGAGTTGACGTGAACTTCATGATCGCGATTAAAGTGAGTGAGGTCTTGCCAGAAGCAGCTACTAGAAGTAGTTCGATGTTAAGCCGAGAGATGAGTGATTCTGGATAGCTGCCAAACAGACCGAACACATCATGGTCCAGAGGGTCGGGTCTGGGTTAACGCGATGGCTAAATACAACATAAGCACGAAGGGACTCTTGGCGCCTACTCCGGGTGGCCTATGCAGAGAGACGATGCGCAAGTTGTTTGTAGAAAGCCTCACTCTCGTGCCAAAGCGCCTTATTGATGAAACGGGATTGGTGGGAGGTACGCGTACAGCACCGTGCATGAGAAGCCATCTTGGCTATAACTGGTTCCATAGTCGCGAGATCGTACAGCGAAATGCCGGTATTTCTTCAAGATAGCGTGAAGCTTAATGACAATTATAGGCGGAAGCTTTCCCAGGCTTTTGGAACAGGCAAAATTTTGACATTATGCGCTGTGGCTGTGACTTGAACTCGGCGGCGAGTTTCCTGGTTCGGCATGCAGTTGTGGCATGCAATAGCTGTCTCAAGCGAGACTGACTCGATTTCGCCAACCAAGTTGGACGATCTCCCGCAAAACGAGCTTTCCGCCTTGAACTCAAACTTCCACCGTCAAGCCATATTGTGACCTGTTGCATCTCTTTGGTCAGCCAGATTCCCCTGCAGAACACGGATGAACCGAGGCGTAGTCCGATGTTTTGTCGCCGTCTGAAGACTGACTCGTGGCGGGCATTCTGGAAAGACTTCGTAGAAACGAGGCCGCTACGGATCGACAACGGTTTCAGACAAGCTGTTTCAGTAGAGAAGATCAAAGTTTATTTCAATGATGCTGTCAGAATCGGATGGCTGTTTATCGTGCTGGAAGGCTCCGACAGCGCGACGGTAGGGTCTCCGTGATTGGCAATACCGCTTGGTCTGATGATCCTGAATTTCTGGATCTTTGAAATTGGTGAAGCATACAATGGTCATATTCCCCATTCTATTGGGTTGATTCTGTACATCGATCACCATTCTAGCCTCAGCCCGCCCGTTTGATACACAATGGCGGCTGCGAGGACCGCGGACCGGGGGACATGGTCCCTTCTGAGAATCCTTCCCTTCTTTTTCCCGGTAGCTTTTCTCTACTTCCTGACACCAATCCTCAACGAAACATGGTCATCCTGGATACTATCTCGGAGCGACATTTACCTAGGAGAGCTTGCTCGGGCAGCATTGTCGGAGAAGTCATGGTTGACTTCGGTCGAAAAGAGAAATGAGTGGATGAGTGCCAACAAGGACTACGACTCAATTCTGTGAGTGGGGTCTCTTTAGATAGCAATAGAGATATCTGATTGTGCAACTAGGTTCACACCCAGAGACGAGAGCCTCCGATTCTGGTATACCATCTGGGACCTGTTTCCGGCAGCGTACACGTGCCCATGGGATGTTCAACGAGTTGGAATACTTGGTGACGGGGGAAAGTGGATTTGCGGAATGAGTAAATACGAAAGAGCAAATGCCAATTCTCGAGCGCCTGAGAAACCCATCCGCATTTACAGCTTTGGGATCGGAGACGACTCTTCTTTCGAGACGGAGATGCTCGGCCGCTCCAGCGCCACTGAGATTTACGGCTTTGACGACACCGTCGATGATTGGGGTAAGGGACTAGAAGCGTATTCCAATCGGACGCATTTCTTCCAAACGGCTGTTGCCGAGTACGACTACTACTATGAAAAGGAGAAGACGGAATTTCTTTCGATCAAGAGTATCATGAAGAAGCTAGGGCACGAATATGTAAACCTCGTCAAGATGGATATCGAAGGAGACGAATTCCCGACATTGGAGTCTTTTCTGGGAGACTATACGAAAGGTGGAGAGCTCGAGGGCAAGGAGGTGCCAGTTGGTCAAATGGTGATTGAGATTCATGTACCAGAGAAGGGCCCTACGATAAGTGAGTTTGCGGAGTGGTGGGAAAGGATTGAGGAAGCTGGCTTCAGGCCGGTTTGGAGCGAGGCAAATCTTCTCGCCGTCATGGTGGGAGATGGGAAGCCGTGTTGCTTTGAGGTAGGTGATCATTTCACTGTGGCATTCGTCGTATATTTTCAACCCCCTCTAATTGACTTAGTACACTTGGATAAACACGAAAGGCAGCAGAAGTGTCCTGTGGGAGAGACGCAGCGAACAGAATATTGCAGCAACATGATATAACATCGGTGGAACTCCCAGATGCCGGCGGAGAATTCATGACTCATAATACTCTAAAGCGTTTGGAAACTCTCAAAGTGTTAATTGCGCACAACTTTCTTGAGCTTCGTGATTTCCACCCCGTTTACAAGTGCAACGCAGCTTGCTTTGCTATCCGTTTCGCCTCTCGTCTCCGTCTGTTCCTTCTCATCCGGGGGCAACGGGATCCACGATGGATCAAGAGACTTGAAGTATCGATTCATAGTCTCGTTGAGGGACACGGGAAACGGGAAGGCACGGCCGATGGTGTTGAAGGAAGCAGGCCTAGAGGGCTGGGCCGGCGGGTGGGTAGGGCCTTTGCCTTCGACTTGTCGAGATTGGCTGGGCACAGCCCATAGTCAGTATCTAGCTGGAAGATCCTATAGGAGAGACTTTACCTTTCTTTTGAGTTGGAGTTCATCCTGAATGAGTCGTTTGAATGAAGCTTGCGCCTCGAGTTATTATCGAAATTGAAGGGAAGATTTCGTAGCCCGAATGTTTACTGCCGAGACGATAATAAACACCTGTGTTGGTTTAAACCCAGATGAGTTCATTTTATATTCCTTTGTCGTGGCTAAACATCACTTTAAAGTATTGGGACTCTCAGAAGAGTCCACATGACTAAAGGGGACTCATGGGGACTCTTTTTCCTGTCGGATAGAATGTTCCACAAGAAATTGGGAGTCCTGTTGACTCTGGAGGACTCAATCTCCAGCTTCGCGCTTCTCAGTATTGTTACCTTGAAATCTCCCTCAAAGAAGGTCTCGACCATGTTTGCGACAAGTCTAGCATACAAAAATATGAGAGTTGACAACTACACGCATCAGTTGAAGTTTCAACTCATTCTCCTTTTTGCGACGATTCGAGCTATCAGAATCATGTTTCCAGGAGAAACAGGAACTGACAGACTTTGAAGCGGAACAAAAGCATTGTCGCGAAAGCAAGTCTGACGGCTCAATTCGCGGGAATGTCGCAGTGGTCTTTCTACGCGACTACCAATAACAAGACAGCATTGGGGCTGAGAGGCCCACGTTTGCTTTCAGCTGAGAGTTGTGAGTCCTGTCTTTGGTGTGACATTCGGCCCGCACACTATCTAATTGGTGGTTGGTGGTTTTGGCATCTGCAAGCCACAGGACTCTTGTTTACTTGCAGATCCAGATCCAGCCCCAACAAGAAAGTATTTAACCGCCAACCTTTCCCCGCAGGCACCGTCCTCCGTTTAATTTCAAGCCTGTTAAGCTTTAAACAAGTCTTTTTGGTTCTGTAGAGTAGATATTCTTGCTTTACAGAACATCTACCTATATCCCATCCCTCTTGCCTTGCGCAAGGCACTACTACCCTCTTGTATCTCTTTCCTGCCCTCGGAGGCCGCCGTCCGTCAAAAAGACGGCGGCTTTTTGACGGGAACCGATCGATCCTCGAAGAGTTTGGTGTGGAATCCTTTTCCCCGAAACACTTGTCGACTTCGATTGCGACTCATCACTGCCTATTGGCCTAACAACTCAGCATCACGCACAACATCCCAGATGCTCGGGGCAGTCAAGGGCCTGGGATACAACCTCATTTATCTCACCCAGACCTACCGACGTTTTCGACACCCATGATACTTATTTCACTGGGTACCTCGATGACTGCCTAAACGCAACTTCGCTCGAATACCTTGAGCGTAACGAAGACACATTCGAACAATTTTCGAATTTCTCTCCCGTGAACACATTGGTCTGGGATCAACACTCCTTTTATGACTGGTCTTGCGACCAATTCAAGGTCTGCGACCCAAGCAACAAGATCCTCGCCATTCGAGGAAAGTAGACGCAAACCCGTCACACCACTGGGCCATTCAACTTCGCCATTCGAAGAAAGCAGACATAACTCTGCCACACTAAAGCGCCGCCTAAACTCAGCATTCGATGACTACAGAAATAACTCTGTCGCATCATCCTGCCATTCACGAAAAAGGTACCCATGCCAACATTCGAGTTGCAGCTATTCCTGCGACCTACCAAAGGATATGCAAAAGCACCGACTGAAGCATACCAAGCCGGCACAAGAAGAGTGGCATGCTTGCCCAAACAGCGGCTACGGGAAGAGATTTCCCCGGAAGGAAAACTGCCTTCGACATGCACGGAAGTATTGCAAGCATACTTCCCTAAGAAATAACAATACTTGACGAACTGGGAATTCCCCGTCAGAAGGTCAGTAGCCACTATGCAATATATAACTTGGTATGAACCTACGCTGATCACTCTTCACCAGGCGACAACGAAAGCATTGACGATATCACACGTTAAGCATTCAAAAATCTATTCAAACTACATCCTCTCAAATGCTACCGGTTACCAAAGTCGCCATTGCAGGTACCTCTGCTGTCTGAACAATGTCACTCGTCAATGGGTACAGTAATCAGTCGGAGTGATAACAAGACATCTCAAGTCTAATATGCGCCTTCATCAAAATTAAATGAGACTTCCCGCATAGAATCACGGCTCAGTACAACACAACGGCAGCCAGCCTCGAACATCAGAGATCAAGAACAAGGGAGTGACTGGCAATTCTGTATTTAGATAATACACCCGTCTGCAAAATATACGCGTACCAACTACAACTTTCAGCTCAGGCATGGGGGTTTGAAAGGGAAGAAGAACCCATAGGCACATGTACTCTTATGTACATACATGTGACTAAGAGCGACCAGCAGCTGTTATAGCTAGAACGAGCGGTAGGTTGGCGAGGTCCCCATCAGTCCAGAGCCATAGTATCATAGAGCAATTCCGGAGACATAGCTGACGAGTCTCGCCCTCAAATGTCGCTGCGCGGTGTCTCGCCGCTGTCGGACGCGGTCTGTCTATCGTCAATAGTGTCCTTCGGTGCGTCCTCTCTGACCTTCCTCCATTCCGTTCCCAGTGCACCAATACCAGTCAAGCATGAGAGAACGATGCACAACAAGAAGCACGCACGTAACGCGTGGTTGTAAGCCCCAAACACGTCTAGTGCAGCTGCATCGCCGTACCTTTGTGCCACCATGTCCTTAATCCCAGACGCACCATGCCCGATGACAACTTGTGCGTCGACTTGCGGCGCTTGCGCTGCCAACTCAACCAGGAGTCTGCTTTGGAACAAGCTTTGCGCAACTGAGAGAAAGATGGAACCGGCGAGAGTCTGTGCGAGAATAAGGCTGGAGGTGCCTAGGGACACATCGGCCCCCTTGAGGACCGTCTGGATAGCTGCGAGAGGCATCTGCATGCCCATACCTGCACCGAAGCCGAACATGAAGAGAGTGCCCGCCCTGGTGAAGACAGTGTAAGTAAGTTTAGTCGCATCATGCGGATACAGAAAACTCGTTGACATACCAGTACGCGGTAGTTGTCTCAACTTCGTATCTGAAGATGAGCCCCGAAGAAATTGAGGTAACAATCGTGCTGAAGATCATCTGCGGTACCCAATATCCAAACTTTGATGTCTGCAAGAAGTTCGGTGTCAGCAAATGCACTAAAACAGTTCTAGGCCAGTTCCTACATACCAGAACTCCTGAGAGGATTGAAGACACAGACACGGCGGTCGACGACGTCAAGAAGTTGATGCCAGACTGCTCCGCCGTTGTGTCTTTTACAACCTGGAACCGAATCGAGACATAATACACGATAACAAAGACAGCTCCGTTGACGCCGAGCATGAAGGCCATGCCGCTCGCGACAGATCGTTGGCGAATGAGGCGAAGCGGCAAGGTGGCGTCGTCTCCCCGATAGTACTGGATGCCCAGCCACGCGAGGAAGAGAACACCAAATAGGCACAGGCAAAGGATGATGCGCCAGTTGCTCCACGCGTACGTTGTATCACCCCATTGAAGAGCCAGTAGTAGGCAGACCATGAAGGGCATCAGCAGGACAGTGCCAATGGGGTCCATGCTGTTGAGGAGTTGCACCGATGGACTTGGGCTGCTTGGGCTCCGCGTCGGCAGGAGGCTTGACGTACAAGAAGACGACGACAGCTGTGATTGCGCCGAGGGGCAGGTTGATCCAGAAGCACCAGCGCCAGATAGCGTTATCTGTCAAGGCGCCTGGCCCAAATACCGTTAGCTACAACGGTAATACGGGCAATGCGTGTTTTGACTGACCTCCGAGGGTGGGAGCGATAATTCCAGCAACGCCAGCCATGCCTCCAATCATACCAGTGTAGATGGGGCGTTTGTGCACCGCGAAGCTCCGTGCTATGATGATGAGGGTTCCAGAGAGTAGACCGGCGCAGCCAATTCCAGAGATCGCTCTTCTAATGATTAGGGCGACTGAGTTTGGGGCGGTGGCGCAGACGATAGTTCCCAGTTCGAAGAAGACAAGAGCAGCAAGGAACACCCAGGTCACTCTGAACTCGGCATACAGCTTGCCGAACATGAGCTGAAAGCAGCAGGTCGTCAGGAGGTATGACGAGCCGTACCAGGCTACGTCGTTGAGAGAATTGAATTCGGTGGTGATCTTGGGGACTGCAGTTGCGAGGATAGTTCGGTCCTGAACATTTCATCGCTACCGTTAGTGAAATTTCTCAGTGTTATCAATATTGGGAGAAGGCGTTACCAGCGATAGGCAAAATACAGCCAAAGTCAGACCGATGAGGATGCAGACTAAAGGCAGGCCCCCAACGTACTCGGGTGAGGCCGGGTCTTGGTTGCCATCATTCGTCTCCGGAGCTTCGTCCCGAGAAGTCTTCTTCTTGATGGAATCCATGGCTGATTGGTAGCCTGATTGATCGACAGTCGTTTCTTCTGTAACAGAGGGAATATAGGGAGCTGCTGTTTGTCAACCTGATTGGGACGCATTATTTTAAGACCGGAAAAATAAAAAAGAGAAGAGCGAAGGTCTATTAGAGGCAGTGAAAAAGGAAAGTACCAAGAGTGTTAGGAAAATTGGAAAAGGAAAGAACAGCTGCTGAGCGTTTGGAGGAATCGGAAAGCCAGACTTAGTACCTACTTACCTTAAAGTACATCTCGATGTCCGCAACTTCTTGATATCGAAATTGTGTTGTGGATCCCTCTGCGGCGGCGGGAAGCAAAATGCTCCCCGGAAGATCCTCGACTGAGTCACTCTAGCCTTTTCTGCGTTGCACAGCATTCGTGATTGGAGCTTCTTTGTTTGCGGCGATCGGACCCCTTCGTGGAGGGCTTTTAGACTCCCGCCCCGGTCGGTTTCTTCTTCTCCCTCCCAACTTCTCATCCCGCGGAGACCAAAAAGATTTGTTTCCAGAAACGTTACACCGGGACCTTTAAGACCATTATTTATCCCGAGGGGCGAATCATTGCCGACGATTCCGATTAGGTGGCCAACAATGTCTGCTGCATCCCCTCGCCGCAACAACAGAGTCCAGGCATGTACGAACTGTTCCCGAGCCAAGGCGAAATGCGTCTGGCCGGGGACTGAAAGTCCTGCCTCCGATACTTGCCAAAGGTTTAGTCTAGCCACCGAGTTCAGCATCTCTGACTGACCACAGTCATCGTCCAGATGCTGTAGCCACCACCTAGACTGCTCTAGATCACCGCCGGAAGTCAAGATGAAGAGAGGAAAGGCAGCGTATGAAGTGTCCGTCCATCATCGCAGGAACTCTAGACTGACAAGGCCGCGGTCCTGTAGCCATACAAAGGTCCTTGAACGAAAGCTAGACGACATCATGTCGCTTCTGAATCGCGACCGCGAACATTCAGCTCCAAACAGCCAGGCTTCAGACAGCCATCCATCACCATCGATCAACCTCCATTTAACGACAACGCAGCACCAATCAGATGGCTCTTATTCGCCATTGAACTCGACCGCAACTCCGGTCCAATTGCTTCAAGGAATATTGACAATCGTCCCAGGATACCGAGTCACCTTGCAAGAAGCCAACAGGATTCTTCAACTGTACATGTCCGACATGGTCCCTCAATTCCCATTCGTCCCTTTACCCGTAAGGAGAGCTTACTCGGAATCGATCTTGCGTCAATCTGATAACTGACAGTGATCTTTGCATTACGTAGGAATGATATCCACTACTTCGCGGCATCCTCTGATACAAGTCTGATGCACCTCGCCCGAGGACTAGCAGAAGACTTGGAACTGACACAACGCCCTGATCTCTTGACATTCACCTCCCGATCAATCGTCGAGAATGCTGCGCACCTGAGAGACGATCTCAGCAGCCGATCCCATCACACAAACGGAGGCCGGCGCGCTGTTCTAGGTCTCTTCTATATCAATTCAGTGTAAGGACCTGCCAAATACTTTGAGCATCGTTTCACAGTTCGAAGCTTACCATATTGGAATTCCTACCTTAGACTTGGTAGCATCCTCGGTAGAACCTCACGGCTGGAATTTGCACGTTACTTTGATGACTGCTGCGAGAAACTGTCTAGTGACAACGAGCTTCCAACCGACTCTTTGCTTGTACATCTGGTCAGGCCATTCGGTGGCTTCCATGCCATGGTCATCGCCAACGTACAAAAGGAACTGGAGACATTCGTCGAATCCTTGCCACCTCCTCTTCGTTCAAACTGCACGACCTGTTCTGTCGTGAGCGTGACTTGAGAAGCCGCTGACAATCTCCAATAGACCTTTTGAATGAGCATTGCATGGCCATACGCATTCGACTGTTCGAACCCGCCATACATGCCAACGGAACCCATGGATTTAAATCCCCTCACCTGAGGTCTCGAATTATGTGGCGCTGTTTTACGAGCACTCAGGAACTCTTGCATGCGTTCCTCTCCCTGAGTGTGGATACGTATCCAACTCTCACATTCATTTCCATTCTCCATCTGACACTCGCCATCGTCAAAGCAGCAGGGCTTTTGAGTGTAGTGGACCACGATTGGGACCTGGATACAGCGAGCGCAAACTTAGATTTGGCCGACACGTTGCAAGTATTGAGCGACCGGTTCATCACCAGCCCTCGCGCCAACGGCTATGGTAGCACGATCTTGAGCAGTCGTCAGCGGATGGTATCAGCTTATGCCGAAAACTACTTGGGTATCAGGAGCTGGTACTTATCCAAGATCGGCTCTACTGCTGCTCCTGATGCTGTGCCGACGATGATGGACCCTGCCTTCTTGCAGGACAGCGGGATGACAGAAGGATTTGACTTTTGGCAGCATCTATTGGGTTTATCTTACGGGAATCTACCAAATGTGTAAAAGTCTATGTTGTCTATTTTGAGTCGCTGCCACCTTTGTTTATAATACTGTGTGCCCCTGGTGCTACGTATACTCAAACTCAAACATTGGAAATTTCTTAGGTCTTGCATATACTCTCTATTTGACCCAAAACAACTTTCATAATCTATTTGCCCCAATTGCAAACGCAATGGCTGGCTTACATGTAGTAACCAAAGCTTCAATCTCACTCGGCGAGTCATCGCCACAGCGCAGCTGCACGGGGCATTACCAACGACTCGCCCTAATGGGAGATTGACAACTGTTGCGGGAGTTTCCTTCAAAGACGAACTCAGCCTTAAAGCCTTCTATATTGCTTTGCCAGTTTTCTCGTTCTCTTGGAACCTAGGGAAATGCATGTGTTTATGGAACGGTCCGAAAATCGCCCAATCATGCGGCCCAGGGTACCCCAACCAGCATTGTATGAGATTTGTCGGATGATAGACTGGGACCAGGCTTCACGCCTTTTTGCATGATCATCGGCTCGCAAGTAATACGCAGATCCGAAAGACCCGCAAATTGTCATCGTCTCACGGCACGGGCTCCGACATAAAACAAGTATCATGTATCGTGGCGACGTCAATCGTACACATCAGCTAGATTGCTACCCAAGACTCACCCTAGAGGCCGTTGCTTTTGCAACGTCAACCTCACCCTTGAACTGCAATTCTTGAATAGGCGAGATCGAAATTCACAGTACAAGAAGGCGAACAAGGGCAATTGATCTACTCTCTTTCAGCCCGTTCTTGCGTAGACCTATCCAGACCGTCCTCCTCCCCAGATACATCATGCGTTTTGGCGACATTGCATTCGCATTGCTGTTGATGTCCGAAGGCGTCTTTGCAGGTATGCGTCAACAACAGGAGTAACAGTATCAGCTACTAAAACATTGAAATAGCACCGAAACCGCGAGGCAGACGAGGCGAAGTTCTCGCCATCACACTTATTCCCCGGGAATTCAGCGACTTTGCGAAACGAAACAAGCCCTCACCCCAACAGGTCGCCGCCAACGGACGCGCATGCGGGAACACTATTAGACAAGGAGTTTGCGATAATGGGAGGTGCGGGAACTTTGTCGCTCCGACTGGTTTCGAGGTAGTACCAGGCGCCGATTCACAATGTGGAGGAGGCCGGGCATAATGATGGCTTCATCTAGCCAGGCAGCCAGGCTCCGTTCTACCTTAGGCTCCCTTGGTTTTTGGATTTGGACACTTTGACTGTATTTATTGCCCACCGAACATATCTGGTACACTGCACAGAGAACATAGGCATTGCTCCATAGAATTGCACTCAGCATTTGCAACAGTGATTCCTCAGTAATGATCCTCCAAAGTCATGGTCACAGTCTTCGAGACCAGGTACTCCTCAATAGCCACGTCCTTGCCAGACTCCTTTCCGTAGCCAGATTGCTTCATACCACCAAACGGAGACTCAGCCGCCGATGAATTACCAGTGTTCATCCCGATCATTCCTGCATCCAAGTTCTCCATCAGCCGCCACGTGCGATCGATATTCTTAGTGAAGAAGTAGCTGGCCAGACCCATGCTCGTATCGTTGGCCCACTGAACCGCCTCGTCCTCGGTCTTGAATCTGTACAGACCCAAGACGGGGGAGAATGTCTCCTCGCGACTGAGTAGCATAGACTGCTTCATATCGCGCAGGATAGTCGGCTCATGGAAGTATCCAACCTCCAGACCGACTTCTGTTCCCTTTCGACCTCCGTGTACGACCTTTGCGCCTGCGTCTACTGCGTCTTTGACGTGAGCTTGGGCTTTGGGGATGGCGCGGGGTGTTGTCAGGGGTCCCATGGTCGTATCCGACTTGGTTCCGTGTCCCATTTTGATCTTCTTGGTTCGCTCCACTAGCTTCTCGAGGAACTCTTCGTAGATACTGTCTTGGACGTAGACGCGGTTGGCCGTGATGCATGCTTGGCCTGCATGTCGCCACTTGAGTGCGAGAAGTTGTTCCAGAGCTTGGTCCTGGTTGCAGTCGTCGAAGATGATGAAGGGGCAGTTTCCTCCGAGCTCCAGAGTCAGTTTCTTGAGGCCCTCTGCGCAATGTTTGGCGATCAGGCTGCCGATGTTAGTGGAGCCGGTGAACGAGACCTTCTTCGTCAAGGGGTGTTTGCACAGAGCCTCTGTGACCTCGGGGTGTTGTCGAGGGACGTGGTGATGACGTTAAAGACACCTGGTCCGAACCCAGCCTTTGTTGCTAGTTGTGCGAGGATGAGGCACGTCAAAGGTGTCTCGGGCGATGGCTTCGCAATCATGGTGCATCCTGCAGCCAATGCAGCGCCAGCCTTGCGCAGAATCATTCTACAATGCTATCAGGACTGCAAGTCAACAGTCGTGGTTTGAGATTGAGTACTCACGCGATGGGAAAATTCCAGGGCACAAGCGCCACAGCTACACCAATTGGCTGCTTCACGACCACAACCCTTCGATTAGGTGCAGATGGCGTCGAGATGTTTCCTCGAATGCGCTCAGCCTCTCCGGCGAACCACCACGTGAACCCAAGAGCATAATCAAGCTCGCCTTGCGCTTCTGCTAGAGGCTTGCCAGACTCGTGAGTGAGAACTTGAGCAATGTCATCCCGGTTCTCGCGGATGAGGCGGTCCCACTCTAAGAGCTTCTTGGCCCGAGACCTCGGGTTCTCGTAGCGGAAGGTCTGGAAAGCTTCATGCGATGATTTCACCACTGCATCGACATCGGAACGATCAAAGTCTGGACTTGAGGCAAAGAATTTGCCTGTTCCTGGGTCCTCAATCTCGAATCTCTTTTTTGATGATGCCGTCACCCAAGAGCCGTGGACGTAGGCGTCCGTCTTGAGCAGATCGGGATTGGCGAGCTAGGGGTGTTAGCAGCGAAGACATCCAATTTGGAAACCGGACAGCGTACCTTGAAAGGCAGATCTTGAGCCATGATTTTGACGTTTGGAACACTGACTTCCGCGGGTCGTGCAATGCAAATGAATTTCTAGATAATATCTATGGGGATGTGTCTGATGCAGGCTACATATAATATAGGTGCGGAGATATATAGCCGACTTGAATTCCTAGTTCGCCGCGACCCCGCATCTTAAGTGCCTCCAAATGGTGCCGAGTATTCAAGATGACGTCTTTTTGCAACACATGGCCAATTAAGCGGTCGGCATGTCTTCCAAATATCGAGAACCTTTGAGGTCCATGCAACTACCCACTAGTTGGGCCGATCCCAAAGGCGTTTGCGAATCCAGAGAGCCGCGGGACGACTATGAAACCCCTCGATTATCAAAGGCCAATAGCAATCCTCCCCGCGCATCATCCTTGGATTCCCGCAGCCCGGATGCCCAGCCGGATACCACGTCTTCTTACTGATGACAAGAATTCTATGGCTCAGAAGTTCATGTCAACTTCATCAGCCTGCCTCCGAATTTCCAATTCCAAGTGTTTGTTCAGCAACGGATTGAAGCCGTAGTCGGTGATCGAGGTATCGGCCCCGGCGGGAAGTCTCCACTCGTACTGGAGGAGGATATGCACGAGAGCGATCTTGATCTCGTTTGCAGCGAAGAAGCGACCGGGGCAAGCATGTTTCCCGTGGCCGAAGCCGAGGTGCTCCGGTAGAGTGCTCACTAGCTGCGACACGTTTTCCTTGCCGGGCTCCTCTCGCATTCGGAGGAAGCGGTACGCGTCCCACTTTTCCGGCTCCGGGTACAACGCGGCATCCCACAGAGAGTGAGAAGAAACAGCGATGTTTGCTCCCTTGGGGATGAAGGTACCGTCGGAAAGAGTAAAGTCCTTTACGGCGACGCGTTGCATGCTAGCTGGGAAGACATGTCAAGTTAGAATATGCATCGACTCCTCAGCAAGACAGGTCAAAGCCGCTTAAACTTACCGAGCTGTAAGGGCTTGATGCGCTGGCTTTCTTTAATGACACTATCAAGCAACTTCATGTTGTAGAGAGATGTTTTCTTCCAACCACCCTCTTGGAGCACGGTCCGAACCTCATTGCGTAGTTCCTCGATGACCTCGGGGTGCTTCGCTAGATCAACCAGAACCTGGCCCAAAAGATCGGTAGTGGTGTGGATAGCAACTGTTGATAGGAACAACTGACTCAAAGCAGGATTATACGCAGTACCCTTGGATTTAGAGGCCTGCTCGAACCATTCAATGGCGTCTTGGTATACAGGCTCTGGCTTGCCCTCGGCGATCGCCTTTGCCTTGAGAGCCTTTCGCTCGTCAATGATGGGCTGAATGACTTTTGTGGCTGTCTTGATGTGTCTGCGCGCTTCCTGGCATCCGGGAAGGAACCAGTGAACAATAGGCCGGAGAAATGAAGGGTATTCGCGAAGTCGGTCGCCAGCGGTGAAGCCACTGATGGTGTAGTTCTTGGTGGTTTCGAGCCAAACTTCGTTGCGGCAGAGTTCGGTGCCGAGAAAGACGCGAGAAGAAATACGGGCGATGAAGTGTAGAAGGTTTGCGCGCATGGGGATAGAGTGCCATTCTGGCCAATGTCAGTGAACCATCCTTGCTTCTTTCCTCTGGCATTTCATTTACCTTGGTTTGCAGTGAAAATATTGAGGAGGGCTAGAGAGGTCTCTTCGGCTAGGGGCTGCGTGACCTTTGCTGTAGTCACATGGTCAGCATCATGGAAGAATGATTGTAGTTTTTCGTTCTTACCTAGCTGCTTCGTAAGGTCTTTATTGATGACGACCAACGTAATGCTGTCATGTCCCCCCTCTGCAAATGCACCGAAGCCAGGGTATTTCGTTTGGAAGAACTGGGTAAAGTAGGCGTTCAATCAGAATCGTTTCGTTTTCTGTGATGCAATAGGCTATCAGGGACGACTTAACCAACCTCTTGGGAGAATGCAGTAAAGCTCAGGTCACTATGGTTGCGGATTTCATTCGCCATCGAGGGAGGCAGCACAATTGAACTGCCCAAGTCGCTGATCATCCGAATGGGCTTATCTGGATTCGCGTCAAACCATTGCTTCAACAACTTTCTCGCATTGAAGAGGAAATTTCTCTTGGGGCGGGTGTCCGTGAGTTCGAATTTTCCCTTTTGGTTAATGGAGGGGGTGTTAAGCTTTGTTCCCTGCAAGGAGTAAACGAATATGATGAGTAGAATAGTCGTAAAGAAGTATGAAAGAGGCTTGGCCGAGCCATCGAGAGTGTATCTCGCTTCTCCCAACAGAGAGCGTGTGGCTCCGACTCCGTCCATGACTAGTGGTCTGCTGTGTGAAAGAGTAATGCGTTCGAAGTTGCAAATGATTCTGATAACTTGCGATCCTGTCGAGAATCAGGACCGTATTAGAGGCGGCAATGGATTAGTATTTATGTGAGCTTCAGCATGGTCCTATCTAGGCATCCGAGCCTCAATTGACGTCAAGGAGGCGCTAGTACAGCACGACAACAAGAAGTGAAAACCTGTTCATACTCCACTCACCGCTCGGGCGGAGTATAGGCATCTTCCCGTAGTCTTACGTGGGCCTGAGGCAAGCGTCTAATCCAGGGTCACGACAGATCAGGGGCTGCGTTGCGGGGCCTATGTTTGGAGCAAACGCATAGGTCACCTTCCACAACTGACAGGATGCAGTATGTAACTCATAAGGTACTTCGTCTTAGCCCTGATTAGAACGAGCAGCCCAACAAGCCTGAACAGCTCCATACTCGTCGCATCACTAACGTCCTCTAAAACGAATTGTCTCTCTGAGATCGAGTCCTCCCACCCATCATCTCAATATGGAGGCCCGGCTGTTTGAAGATCCTTTCCGCCTTGCAGAAATGTCAAAACTGGCGGGACTCGTGGTGGGAGAGCTTGTAGTTCGGACAAAAATGTGCTGAACACTCCATCAGTGAGTTCTCTGTGACACTGCCGCTTAAACTTGGCAGTAGGAGTTCGTCTTCCCTTAGACGCAACATATTTCCCGTAATCCGGTGTTGATGATTCGCTCACAGAGCTGTACACGGATACAACTATGCGATGCAGTACGTCCTCCGGTACGCTAGCGCTCCCCTGTGCGGCAGGGAAAGGGAAGATCCACACGGTATCTCTCCTACACCAAGCCGCATCGAGCCTCCCGCCGGTATTCGTCTACCCATGGGCCAGTCTAAACGGCGGTAAAATGCTTGGCGGGCTTGAGCGGGGAGCCGGACTTCTGTCCACGGTATCTCGGGTCTTTTGTCACGATGCCGACTATATCAAAGGCGGAGCAGGTCGCCGCTGAATCAGCGGTTCCTCCGGGCTGGGTCGGCGTGCCGGGCTCACGGCAGACTCTATCAATAGCCAGTGCCCGGACAGAGTTGCCTTTGACGCTGCCAATTGCGCAAAATCAACAGATTAGAAGCTTGCCATGAACCCACCACACGGCTCCGAAGAACCACAGGTTCGGTAGAAACCCATCAATCCAATGACTTTCTCATCTTCTGAAATGCCTTTCACGATTCCGTAGCGCAGGCTGCTTGAGCACCTAAGTCCCAGTAGAGTTGCAGGTATAGCGTAAGGTCGGGCTATCGGTCTAGCCCGAACCCCGGGCCGTACCTAACAGCTCGTTTTCGCCTTTCTTATAGTGCGTCTGTAAACCATTAGTCTTTCTGAGGTGGCACTGCACCTAACGTCATCTCTCTTAGGAGTCCATAACTGCGTATTAGGAATACTTGTACGGATACTATAAGCCTCACAATCTTCGCCCAAAGCGATTGGTGCATTCCTTGTCCGTCAACAGCGAGCAGGAACTGAGTACATAGTCACCCGCCTACCCTATTCGGGTTCAGAGGGGGGGACGTGCGGGGCGAAAAGACCTGTATCCTCTCGATGTCCGGGCATGTACATTACCCTACCTTACGGTCCCATGACAGGAAATTTTCGCCTTGGAGCTCAAGGAACTTGAATACGAACGATCGTCCTGGTGGGAATTTGCCGCGGCTTAAACCCAGATTCTGACAAATTTCAGTTGTCGAACCAGCCGCCGTCGCTCTATCCGCAAATGATCATTGACACGATACGCACGTTGAGAAGGTTTCAGTACGGATACGTGAGCACCGCTAATTAATGTAGTTTCTGTATGAAGTACTCCGTACGCTGTCTACGGGACACGCGACAGCACTTAGGCACCGCTAATTCGACTTTGAGATTATGCTTCTCATTTTCCCTGCGGCGCTCGCACGGCAGGGGCCAACATGCAAGCAGCCCCTTGCTAAGAATCATTGAGAAAGGACTACTCTGGATCATTCTTTAAACCATCCATCGTCGAATACGTGCCATAGATGCAAAATTCGACTTTGCTTGAGTCGCGTTCAGCAGGCAACAATTCGGCGGGAAAGAAACGCCGCGGTCAAGTGAAAACCCGCCGTACAACCACCCGCAGAATTTATGAAAAGAAGTATCCCACCGCTTTCGAACTGGGTAGGTACCACGGCCGAGAGGCAATATAAATTGCACGATTGGCCGTGCCTCTTTGCAGCTGTTGACAGCGAGTTCCAGTGCCTCTGACCTCAATCCTCACTAAATCGCAGCCCATTGCTCTAACTACCTAAGGTGGTTGGTTATTCAGCCCCTTATTGACTTCAACTCAAGACAGACAATAGATTGTAACGATATCAAGCACATAACTATTTTTTAGACTAGGCCTTTTATCCATCAAGAAGTGACGCTCGATTTTTTGAATCTTGCCATAACAATGGCCCACGTTCATTAGTAGAAGAACTGGCCACTTTCGCGGCTCGCTTGTCTTTTCGCAAGTTTCCAGTGACGGGTCCCCATCTGAACAAACTCTAAACCTAGGAAGCGATAGATGATTGAGGGATAGCACTCATGGCAGTTGCCGCGGGGCCCCAGCTAGAGGTTTCCGGCATCCCACTGGCCTGTGGTGGTCAGACGCCTAACATGTCGTTCCTAGCGTCGCGGATGCCGTGTTGAACGACCGTACAGGGGTCTCGATCGATGAGGCGATGGAAAATATTCCCCTAGGGCCTGGGCCTTATTCGAAGCCGAGCCGCCGAGCCTTTCGGAAAGACGGCTTCGAGTAGAGACCATTGTTTATTAAAATTTTGGATACTGGCTGAACGAAAAGATCCCTATTGGTATTCCATTCACAGGGATGTTGGTTCGAACCGTAGGGTCCTGCGGGTGACGAAGTATTAATATCTCTAAATTAATTAATTCTGCGTAAGGAGTAGAAGGGAGATTCCAACCGGAGGTTGGGTGGGTAGTCGAGGTCTAAGTGTACCCCCTCAAGGTGGCCCATGCTCTGCCCCTACTCGCGGCCGAATTGGACTTCCAATCCGACAATCCCCGTACTCGCGATTCACCTCGCCAACGTTCGCATCAGCCAGACCGAACGCACCATTAGCTCTTGGCTCAGAGTTTGATCCGACTCTTCAGCTGCAATCAATAATTACTTGTGCGTGCAATTATTGAGATCAAGTATTCACGGACTACCTTATGTGCGTAACTCAAGCCTGGATGCATGCGTTAAACATTCAAGATCATTCAACGTAAAGTGAGGCCGTTCATCGCCTTTAATATCAGCTCAATATGAGCTCTCAGTCTTTTAATATTGATCGAAATTGATGGATACAAAGGATTCGGAAAGCTCACGCCACGGCCTACAAAGTCGCCGGCAATGACTCGTGTCGCGAGTCGTTACCATACACTCGTGTCAGTCACCCAGCTTCAGTCTTGCTCCCTCCGACGGACTTTCATGTGACTGTAAAGCAATCTGATTTTCCAACTTAGTAACTCGTGTATAAAGAGCCCTCATTCGTCTCTCTGCTAACTTCTCTCTCCGATGGTTCAGGTGAATACGGATGAGATACGATCAATGAGGCACTACACGCCATCGAGAACTGTCGCAAAGTTTGAATGCAATCTTGGAATACATGATCGAAAGCAAATGTCGCCCGGATTGACATTATCATATAGAAATTACCATCATGGGATTATGTGCGTCTGGACTCTAGGTTATCGCAACCCGGGCTGCGAGTCCGAATCGGATCCGAACCGGCATCGGGCAACGGGCGAATTATTACAGCCCGGCCGACTTTACATGTACGGGGTACTCCGTACGAGCCACGACATACACGAGTCATGCTTCTTGCTTTCCCAAGGCTTTCATAATGAGCAGCACAATTCTGTACATTTGTTGAAGGTGCAGCTTGCGGCGAAGGCAATTCTGTGCAAGTGCCAACTTAGAAATTCGAGATTGCCAGTTGATCCTGCCACTGATCATTCTCAAGTCAAGCTGTGAAGACCCCAACACAGCATGACCACCAACGAGACCTGGACTTTAATGCTTCCATCTGACTGCCGTCAGTGAATAATTTTAGTGAAACCGATGCAAGATTCTCCGGATCTTTTTCTGAATATTGAATAAACGCAATAGTAGTGACAAGTGACGTAAGTTAACGCTTCATCAAACGTTTTTATCTATGATATCATAGCGATTGAGAGCAAGCGAGGCCAACTAAAAGAGCTTCCACGAACTACCATCCTTCTAGTCAGAGGAGCGTTGTCAATTAACACCAATTGCAAAGGGTCTCAAGACTGCAAGACGTCTAGTATCATGGACGATGCACTTCCCAGTCACCATTGCTGATACGTCACAACTACCTAAGTTCAACACTATCACCATCACACCAGCGCCCAGCCGTCAAACTGGTTTGCAATATGTTGATGACAACGCATACGATGAAAGATTCCAGATGGGTTGGTACAACTTCAATTCATCAAACTAGATAAATAGACCAGGTCCATAGCAACAGGTGTTAGAGTTCCGGATGACTGATTTACATGGGTTGCGGAGCCAATCTAGCAATCATCTGGGACTCTAATGAATCTATAGACATGTCTCTTCCCTGATCATTTCTCATCATTCTCGACAACCTTCTTCTCTCCAGAGTTGACGCTCTCAAAGTCTTCCTTGTACGTCATGAAAACATCGTCGTTGAGATGACGGTGTCTGAACCAGAAAACGATTGTCTGAATGAAGAGAGCGATACCTGGGGCAGCCCAAGCCCAAATGAGGGTCGGGTCCGCGATAGAAGGAAGAAGAATCTGTCCCAAGGCACTGCTCAACGCTGTCATGAATAAGAAGAGAGCAACAACAGTCGATCTCATGTGCTCCGGGGCGCGGGCATAGGCCAATTCGTAGGCTGTGATGTTGATGAAGATCTCTGACATGGCACCGAGTGCGACGTTGGGGATCTGCCACCAAATCGAAAGAGGAGAGACGTCGTCGCAGTCACTAGCAGCGTAGCCACTTCAAAGAAGGTTAGCATCCCTGACCCAAGTGAAAGATTCATTTGCAGAAAAACTTACCAAGGGCTTGTCTCATAGACACGCCATTGTACCAACGCTCCAATGATAGAAGAAATGATGGCCAAAACGAATCCGACCGTCATTCTGCTGATGCGTCCAAACTTGACATTTCTACGCTCAAGGAAGGGGTAGACGACGTTGGCCATCAAGGGTGAGAAGACAATGATGACCAAGGGGTTGAAGTGACTGAGAAGATCGTTGGGTGCGCCGTCGGATGTCATTGCCGCACCCTGGTTGCTCTGAACGTTTCCAACACCACCATCATTCAAGTACCAGATGGGAATGTACAGGAAGATCTGAACCGCCTGCCAGGTACGGCGGGCATCGTCAACGTCCTTCTCAGAGTATCCGACATGCACTCCTCGCTCAGCCAGTGCAGTGGGGCGGACGTTCTGCCACACGTTCTTGGAGAAGATGTTGCCCTTGCTCCCCTTAATCGCCGAAACCGTGATCTTGACAAAACGGTTCAGGTCGGAGCCTTGAGGCGCAATTCTGACGGTTCGCTTGTATGTGGCGGCAAGCAAGAGCGGAAGGAGGAAGTAGACGATACCAGGTACGAGGTAAGCCAACCAGAAGCTATGATACTTCTCGATGTAGACGACAGCAATAGAAAAGAAGGCGCCAACGTTGATGAAGGCGTAGAAGATCAACATAATGTGGTTGACAGTGGTCTCAGGGTCGACGAGAACCTTCTCTCCTGACTTAAGCACCTTGGTGTACTGGCGCTGGTGCTTGTACTGGTCGATAACAGTCGGCGCAACGTTGGGCTTGAAGATACCAGCTCCGATGGCAAGGAGAAAGTAACTGATCAGAAATGGAGCAACACCTTTACCGGCCTGCAAGATTGAGGGAGCAGCGCCTCCAATCATGATGACATGGGCAACACCTCCGATACCGACACCCCATGCGATGGCTTTATAGCGACCGATTTTGACGTCTGCAATCCACGCACCAAAGATTGGAATAACGTAAGCCAAGAAGGTGAACAGCAGACCCAGGGCAGAGGCTGTCTGGAGTCCAAGGCCAAGAGCGCCAGCATGAGAGTTGGGCTTAGACTTGTCAATAGCACCGGTGCCAGGACCTCCTTCGGGCAGAGGGAACTGGAGGTAGTTGTTAAATGCAGCCTTGACACCGTAGAACGATGCTCTCTCGGCCATTTCTACTACGCAAAGGGACCATGATTGTATGGGGATGGAGTCTGCTACTTTGCGTAGAGTCGACCGCTCGTCATCAGTCGGAGCCGGGTATGCCTCATCATCGATGACAGAGTGTGTCTGATCGAGGGAGTTGTTTTGGGACTCTACGTCAAGAGTATTGACTTGGTGAGTCTTCTCAGGGTGTACGCCTTGGTCGGAGTCGGGCTCGACGACCTTGTGCACGTTGAGACCAATAACATTCTCAGCTGCAGGTATGTCAGCGAACTAGACGCACGTCAAACATGTGCTAAAGAACTTACCCATGGTGACCAACTTTGCTCTCTATGACTTGACAACGTAGGTTAAGAGACTGGAGGGAGAGAAGGTGAGGAGGCCCGGGAACCTGCGTTTTGACCTACCTCGCGCCCACTGATATGTTATCTGCTGGTCCTCGGAACGTTGCACTCAGAGATAGATCTCCAGACCATTTGACAGAGGGGCTCCATCGAACTATCCTGTTCAGGAACCGTAGGCCTGCCCAGAAGGCCAAGGCGGGGCCAAGGTTGATCGCGAGCTTGTGGAAGCTTGTTGCGACATTAGCACATTGCCATTGACCCCATGCATATCCTAGTCCTGGCAAGTGGGTGGCTAGCTCCCGTCTGGGCTCTGGGTAGCCTCGCTTTTATCTCAAGTCTAGAAACCAAGCGATGTTATCTAAAAGTTGGAAGAAGTCCGAATGATTTCTCGCATTCTTTTGAATCGCACGGCATCCAAAAGTTGCTTATCTTGAGTGTTCGGGGAACTTCAAGAGCGGAACGTTATCATATTTGCTGCCCACTTCCCCGGCCAGCGGGACCACATGTCCACAACAGATATGGAGGCGGGCCGATATCACCACCCTTATCGGTCTTTTATCCGCCGGCATTCCATGACGGGAGTCCACGACGTCGATTGCGTGATTGCGAGAGTGGGGGAATTCGTCGTTATACATCCAACAAGAGCAGAGACATCCCCGAACCACGAAATTGGATGTGCTTGTCCCGTTACCGTAGTTGGCCACCGGACGGGACGACCGAAAGTTTATTAGTGCTTGGGACGGGCTGAACCTCAGTCGGGGCGAACTGTTGTGAAAACTAGAAATGTCGCCATAATCCACCCAACTTCAATCCCAGCTCTGGTTGCGTAACAAGTAGACCAACATTGCCTATGAGGATGGCATCATTGTCAACTTGCCGAGGCATGAGTGAGTTTTTGAATACCTCGCCGCCCCCTTTTAGTTGTTTAAGATGTCTCGACGGCCAGGTCGCGCCGAGTCATTCGAGAGAAAAACGGCGAGAATGCCCGAAGAGGCAAAGAAACACATCATGATTGGAGCAGCTGCAGCTTTCTGTCGTTGTTGGCTGTGTAATTCTCGCGCAATCTCTGAGTTTGACAGTGCTTGGCAGTGGGAAACCTGGTAGAATATTCTCCACAGCCGTCGCGCGCTGGAGGCACGTTCCAAGTCTGCCGCGAGAGCACGCCATCCGTCGAAGCGAGTGTCGCGTTCTCTTCTGCGCTTCTCTTTTTCTTTCAGCTACTGTGATGTTCAAAGATTGTGGGTGGCTGGAATATTCCCTCCCCAGACGGAGGTTCCTAGAGACGCGTCGAGACGTTTTGCTTACAGGCTTTCCTCGAAGGTTATGAACAAGTCGTTCGTTATTCTCAAGCAGAACTGAGAAGCTATTGATCAAAAGAGATGACGTCCCTTTTATGGCACTGATAATTACGATCAATGCGGGGCCAATCCAAAGACCAACGAGTCTCACCATATCAGTTTCATGTGCCTAAGCAGATATCCCAGTACTACCAATGGCCTATGCTCGACTCCATTTATGATGCATAGAGCTTGTAATTGGTGTCATGGTAGTTTTTTCTTCGAACTAGTGTATTCGTACATGTAAGGTAGCTAGCCATGCTTGGCTGTTAGGCTCCTCGGAAAATGAAAGCTTGATGGTCACGCTACCAGACGACGGTATTGACTAGCCTTTGCCGTTCTGGCTTCACTAGATGTCCTGGATGATTCCACGTCCAGCTGCAAACCCTCGTTTCTATAAAGGTTTCTCCATGTTCCGCTTCTTACACACCGATGAAAGCAGGATTACGTGAAATACGCTCTTAGTAACAAGAATCAACGAATGGAAACTCAACCTCCGCAGAGAACTTACTAACCCCTTGTTGCCATGTTTGAATTGGAACCTCCGTCCCTTTGTATTGACAAAAGTCGAACCATTCATCCAACCGAGACGCTGTTTGGACCATTTGTGATTGATTCAAAATCCAGATTCCGAGATTTAGGACCAGTGATGACGCGATCGCGGCCAAGCCAGAAATGGTTCGCAAAGAAAGCAGCGACAGCGATCAATGGCTGTATTCCAAGAACAAGGTATAGCCACCAGTATGAATGAAGTATCTTCCTAGTGAGCTTGAAAGATTCATCCCGAGGAGCATATCTCGAATTCTCGACGGTCTCCAGCCTGTTCATGCCCTCAACTTTGAGATCATGTATGCTCCGCGGGCCCAGTACGATCCAACTACTGCCTCCGCGATTGACGGCATTTTCCAGGGAGTCTGCTCGGTTTTTAGGTTCAGGAAAATCCGAAAGGAGACGGCCCATAATTGGGAGTGCATCGATGGAAAAGGGACTGAATTGACGACGTTATGGCCCAGAGAAAATAGGGGTTTGTCGTAGAATATCGGCTTCTGCGGTCGAACAATTCCCCGACTGAAGTTGAAGGGACTGTCGGGTGACGCGCCATGAAGCTTTACAATCGGTACGATGAGTAGTAAACATCAAGGTCGACTTCCTGAATGCTTGGAGCTCGGAGTTGTCAAGGTTACTAGAGGATGTGAACCAGAACGTATGACTCCTGCGACAAAAGCCGAATAGACATGAAGTAGTAACATCGCCGTTAGGGACGCTTGGAACCAATCCTAGAGCAACTTTGTTGTAGTCAAAGTCCGAGTACGTTAACAACCCCAACATATTGTTCTTAATAGTGCTGTTCCAGAATGCGTCGTCGCCACGTAGGCGTTCAATCGTTTCATTTAGTTGAGTTACGAAGCCCTGGACTGTTGCACTCATTATCATAGTATCCTCATCCTTGAGCTTCCTCTGGATGGCGCTGATGTATGGGTAAGTCGGCAGGTCGAGTGCAGCCGCTGAGCTATTGCCGAGAATTAAAATGTTGTGGCCGAAAGGTCTCGGAAGACCGCCCGAACTATTGAAGGTGTCGTCCCTAGCTGAGACCGTGAAGAAGTCAAATGTGGCGTTCGAGAGAAGGTATGGCGCATTACCGGCGCTCACAAAAAGTGAATCTTTTGTCAGGGGGGCCGGTCCATATTGCCTCCCGGAATTTTGTGGCATGTTGATGTCTAGGTCGATGCTATGCGAAGCCTCGCCACCAATTGAGCTTTTATACGCAACCCCAAGACCAAGAGGAAGACCCCAGAGAAGAATCAATGGTATGTAATACCAGCCGCTGTCCTTGGGCCTCAGGGGGCTTCTGCTTAGTACGGCGTCGTACCTTGGCTTCGATGTAGCATGACGTGCTTGCAAGGTAATCAAAGTTGAACCAGCAATCTCGTCGAGGCAGGTTTTCATCAAGGCCAAGAGCAAGCCTACAATGATGAGCTGGTTCTCAAAGCCTAAGCTCCATGGCCAGTTGGTATCTGGGTTGATAACGCAACACCCAAGTATGAAGAATATCCATGAGACAGCAAGAACAACGAGGTGGACGCAGAAGACCCGAGGCTTTGAGCTCTTTGTCTCATGAATAGCAGGATGAGATGCTTGAGTCACTGCTTCGTGGAAAGAGTCTTCGCGGTGGTTTCGAGCTCCAATCAAACTCGTGGTGTCGTCGTCCTTGGGAAGTGGGTCAATTTCGATTTGAGAAACTGCGTTGTTTGACTTTGTGGACGAGTTTGAGAACCCGATTTCCGGTCGACACCGACGGTACTGTCATCAATATCTGCGATTTTGCCGGAATCTCGTCGTCGAATATCATTCGAGTCCATGATCGGAACCTTGGACTGATTGAAAGGGAGGAAATAAAGTGACAAGTTACAAAAAGCAAAAGTAGTGAGTGGCGATATTTAAGTCATTATTAGCCCATGAAAAGTTGACAACCACGCCGCAAATCCTTTGGAGAGCTTTGCTGGCTGGCACTTAGGCACTAGTTCCCATAGAGGTTGCAGCCATTCAATACTGCCCCTGCCCGAATGTAAAGAAGGCGACCGCCCGGCGACCGTTAGAGCTTCCAGGCAGGCCTAAGCCATCAGGATTCCGTTGCTAGAAGCCAACCAGGGATAAGAGCCTGAGCTGCTAGGTGCAGAAGTAGGAGCTTAGCCCCTGTTGTGGGGGTTGCATGGCAGCGACCCCTGTCTTCTGACTCTTCTCTCTCAGCCTGATTCTCGCCTATAACCATAGACACGATCACTTATTGGCTCTTGACTGTCTCATAGGAATTGAGGCTGAGTCAAAGCTGAAATCAGACATACGGAGTTGACAGTGCATCGGGCTAGCAGTTTGGACTTCGCATGTTTTGCGAACGTGGCGGTGATCCAGGCATTCGACACAACACCTCCTTGGCCGGAACTTTTGCAATAGTGGCTTCCACTTGCGATCGCAAACACAAAATGTAGAGAAGATATGAAGAAAGGCCACTTGCTGGTTCTTCGATGTTTTGAAGGACAAGCCCTGGGCATTTTGCGCAGCAAGGCTCCTTAAAAGCAACGCATTAGAGTTATTATAGCCTCATCATAGGAGCTTGCCATGAGCTGGATTTTAAGACAACTGAACAGAAGTGAACGTATGTAAACTCAAGTATTCTAAAATTTGAGTTTGAGGCTCTCAACATAACTGCATCCAGGTCATTTTCATGTTATTGAGACCGCGAGGTGAGGAGCAATTAAGAGGACAGAGTCGCCGGCCTTCTTAACTATTGATATCGCTGTCATTGTCACCATCCGCGTAAAACTCTCATAAAAAATTTTTTTTTTTTGGACAATATAACAAAGCAACCCGCTAGAAGGAATAATAATAGTTACTGCTTTTTCTTTTCCGATGATTATATGTATGACTCTTCGACTGGCCATTTGATTGCAACTGCTGGTTGTGAACAAGACTGCGCGGAAACGGGGTCAAGTTCACAGCCGCGGAGCGGGATGACTGTACTGGTGTGCGAAAGTCGATAGATAGGAGTAAATAGCAAGAGAAAAGATAGTGAGGGTAAAGAGATCTAAAAGAGTCTAACGAGGTAGGCGGGATGAGGATGAGAATATACCTA